AAGGAAGATGACTAATGTTGAGCAAGACAGGTCAAAGACTTCTACGAGGATTAGATTGAGCGACTTCTACGTCGCCTGTATTCAGTGTGAAAGTAAAATAATCACAATTTGCCTGTTTGTCGATTCTAATCATTATTGATGCACGACCGTTTGTAGTAATAACTCGTTTTTCATTATCCTGTTGACAGCAATCACGAACCGATCAATACCAGAATTGAACAGAATTTGTGGACGTGATCGAATTGCTCAACTTTGATAGCATTTTGGCAGAATTTGCAGATCAATACCATTGCTCGAAGAGACCGAATTCTGAGAACACTAAAAATTTCTAAAGATTCCAGAGCTTGACACTGCTGGACTATTTGTCATATAAAACAAGAAAAATGTAGTCATAATCAATCGTTTGTACACAGAGCAAATAAACACTTTTCATATGTAGAGTTTATCAGACGAGGTGGCCGAGCGGTTAAGGCGATGGACTGCTAATCCATTTCCCTCTGGGAGCGTGAGTTCGAATATCATCCTCGTCGATTGTTTCTTTTTACTTTTTCTATTCACCTTCAGAACGTGTTTGCTTTAGTTCAGAACTGTCACACTCTTTTTCTTCATATTCATAAAAACGTCATACAATTAATTACGATGGAATAACGCATAAACGCAGCAGGCTGTTTTCATTGGAAGTGTACCGGACTTTACATAAGATTTTGTCGCATATGTCGAAACCTATCTCATTCGAAAGCCCGTCGAATTCTGGCCCAGGAGAAGCAATTTTTAATTTCTTAAAACGTTGCGAACCTCCGGGAGGTGGACGAAAACTTGGCCGATGGCTTATATTCGACGGTATTTTTCTCAGCCGAAACAGAAGCTATCAAGCTGGAATTTTTACCATATATAGACAACTGATAGTTGAGTCGAATGACGAAAGAATTAGGTGGTTATCACTTTTACTTTGCGAACGGCAGCAATTTCAAATCTAAAAAAAATGCAAAATTGGTCATTTTCCATTGCGTTTTTCGACCTCAACCAAATTCGTTATCACAATTCTAGTAGTGCGTTGGATTTAGCGTTGTTCACTCTATCAAACGCTATGGTTTTGAAATTTTTAGCGCGTTTTTTGGAAGCAAAAAAGTGCTCTCTTTATAGCCTGATAGTCTATTTTTGACGTTTTTTGGCTGCCCCCAACGCGATCCCCGAGGCCTTTTCCATACTTTCAGCTGTTCTGATTGGGATATTCGGATTCAGCACACTTGATTCTATATGAATCTGTGTAAAACCCAATATGTCTTGCCTACTTTCCGAGTTATGGCTATTTTAATTTTAGCAACTTGCCGTTTTCAAACGGCCAGGTGATAACTGAATAACATTCACATTTCTTGGCCTACAGTGCTAAAAATTATACTTTATAGGTAACTTTTAACGGTGAATCCAATGCACAGCTCAGAGAAATGTTTAGACACATGCCGCAGCAATTCTAGCTGTTATTTTCCCTATTTGTATATTTATTATGATTAAGTGAAGTGATATTAAGTATAAATGTGCCCCTTTAATTTTATGAATATCTAAAAGTCCGAGTAAATGTCCTCAATGTCTGCCAACTGTTGCACAGATATTGATATACCGCGCCCACTTGCTCGGGGTGTTTCTTAAGTCCTGCGATAACTGTATTAAGAAAAATGGTGTCTTTATCAGGCGTCTGATTACGTTTTGGAAGATAAAATGCCAGTTTCAGTCCAGGTGGATGAAAAAATTGGACTTCAATTGCCTTTGACACAGAGTGAACATCTATAACGGTTGCGACCATACCATTTATCCAGCACTTCTACAATCAAATAACAATTTTTGGCAAGCTCGCGCACGTCGTGTATTCGTTTTGCTGTCTTTTTTTCGGATTTTGATAACATTTGAAACCGTGTAGAATTGACCGATGTTGATGTGATACCGGCGTCCACTTCACCAATCGAAAAAGTCTCAAAATGATGATATTGGCGCATGCCTTTAATCGGGCCTGCTGTAGGTAGTTTGTTCCATCGTTCTACTAAACGAAGACGACTTTGCTCAATCTTTGCAGCTTCCAGGTAGAACACCTAGAGGACAAACATGCGGCATAGAGTGAAAGATGCTGAAAGAGCTATAAGGGCAAAAACTTTACTTCGACAGAACACTCCGGCTCTGATCCAGATTTATCGACAGATTTGAAATGATCAAAATGTTTCTTGCTAAAAAGGTAAAACTCATGCGCATTACCAGAGAAACGATCGGGACCACCCGAGCGAAGCGTGTAGTGTGAAGCAGCGCTTTTAACTGTAGCTCCGATACCATCTGGCGGACCTTTTCCGTGAGAAGTAGCTGAGAAACATCAGCTAGCGTCCAATTTGAAATCAAGTTTATGATATGTGAGGTTTAAAATGGTGTAACGGTTTTTAAAGTGGGCGCTGGCCCCGTCTGAAACATATTGGATACGCGTAACATTTTTCTTTTTGGATTTTATAAAATCACAAATGATTTCCTGTGCATTATGAACGAATAGACTGTCATGTGGCATATAGTCACTTATTATTGCAAGATTGTGAATGTTTTCATTCGTTTTAATGTAAACTGTGAATAGAGTGGCTTGCTTGGCGTTCCAGTGCTTTGACTGCACCTCGCGCTGGACTTCAAAGGAGTAGTTCTCTGCGAAGTCGATTTGACACAGTGCTAGGTGCTTGTCTTGGTTAATTCTCATTTCAGTAATAAACGCCTTTTGGCAGTGGTGAATGTATTGATGCATGAGGAATCCATCCATGCGCTTGTCGATATCGTGTAGCAGATCGTCCACTGTGACCGACAGTCGGTGAATATCAACCTATAAGTACAAGTTTCGAATTACATTGTGAGTTTTACTTAGAAGTAGGAGGGGCTCACTTTTTGCTCGGTTGTCACCCAGAGCAAATATTTTGCTGGTTCATCTAAACCTACGTTATCGGCCATCAGCAACGTTTCACTAGCCAAAATATTCATACAAACTTGGCATTCGCGGCTTACACAGATAAAATTATCTGGATCACAAACAACACTACAAAGCAGATCTTCGTATTTCATTTTTCGGCCAATAACTTTACTCCACCCCTCAAAAAAATTGATACAGTAGAAGCAAATGTTTCCAGCGGTTAAAGTTTACTCATTTACCTCCAACAAAAGGCTCATATTTTAGTGTATACAACAAATACACACGTCGTGCGGACTGCACTTCTTTACAAATATGGGGCGAAGAGCAAAGAATTTGCTTCGATGAACAATGAAAAGTGGATTTAATATTACAAATTGTACGAAAACTTCGCCTATTGTGCATGTTAAAAAACGATCTGGCACTGGTCGTTTTTCTTGCGTATCGCCTAATTTCACCAACAGCGTATCTTTCTTATTAGGTGATTGACGGCTCACAGCGTCAGATGAATAAAAATCGATCACGGCAGTCACGGTTGCTGACTCCAGTGGCTTATTGCCCCTATTATAGTCAGGACGTGCGAGAATACCCGTCGTGGACCTCAGCTCAATCGCACTCCGTGCTTGCGCCTCTGTGGCATTAAAAAATGTTTCAACTCTCACTCGACCCCATTCGGAAGGACACAGCGTCAAGAGTTGCACCTGATCAACATAGTCACTATGAGAAAATAGTTGTATTAAGCCATCTAAAAGAGGTGAAAGTAAGTTAATTTCAGGTCCGACAATTATCAAGATACCTACTTATTGAGGCGTATTGTTCATGCACTTTCAACGATAGAAATTTTTCGGACAATTGCTCTGCATTTCCGGACACTTTATCTGTTAATTCTTCAGTCAAACGCTTCGTCTTCAAAATTAAGGAGCTGGCTTTACTCTTGATGACATCACTGTTTCTCCTAATATCAGTTTAAGTTTATACACATGACAGGAAATAAAATTTAGACCTACTCGTCTTTGATCGGAGTGATATGAACTGTGGAAAGTAATGTGTTCAAGACCCCCCCTTCGAGTATTTTCTTTCATGTTCATTGTCTGAGATACAGTACCCCGCGTTATGGTTTGCTTTTTCGCTAACTTGCATCGACTCCCTCGACCGGGTCATCGTAGAATGTTGGACTTGCTGTTGTCTTTGCCAAACTTCGTACTGATCGTATTCTTCGTCGTCATTGTTATCATCTGTAGCATACGTAGCAGAAGCATACGCGAACAGCGAAGATTTTGGACGCAAAGGTCTGGTAGCTAA